AGGAGCTTCAAGGTTTGGCTAGTTCTACAGGGTGCGCCAAAATTACGGAGACAGCGACTTCGAGTTGCCTAGGATGAGCAAGGTGCAATTCTTTGAAAACAAAAATGCAGTGACGTGCACAGTCCCATTCTGAATCGTCGACATCCATGCAATTTTTGAAATTCCTTGGTTTGTGTTTATACGGGTCCTCAGAAACATCGAGGAACCATCGACTGTGGCACGCAATGTGGCGAGTAGGACTCGTCAAGCTCATTTTAGAGCGGTTTCTTCAACGAATCCCTAGACATAATGTGTTTTATGCAAGCCTCAGCTTCTAGAACGGATCCGACAGCGTACCCTATCGAGCTCAGATCTGAAATGCTGTTCTACCACCGTTTAAGCCGACAAAGTCGAAAAAATCGGTTCTGCATCAATGCTGCACTAGTACTGAACCACCCTTGCCTCGTAAACGGGAGCTCCTACTTGATGGAAGGCCCAGCAACGATTTTCAAAGTGAAAATAAACTCAGGATAGCAATGGGCTCTGATAAGTCCAAAAGAGCCCCCTGATTCCTATCTCTCGTGACATCCAGTGAAACCAGCGCGTCAACTACCTGCAAATTCTATCGCACACAATCCTTAGATTGTTCGTGGTCGCCACAGAAACACGCCCTTCTCATCCAGAATGACTGCATTCAGCTCCTTGTCCCCTGTACCATTTGGAGCATCTATTGATAGTGCTCGGGTATACACCAAAACGATGATAATTGTCGCGTGCCAAAAACCCTCAACGTCGAAGTCCAATGATTTAGGGACGGTGTCAGTATCAGTCAACCGCTGCAGCTACCATAGATTTTGGTGGTTGAACAAGGTAAGCATAAACAATTCTACACCACAGTACCAAAACTAGGACAGAAGAAAACAGCATCTGTGAATATCAGTTCAAATTGTTTGCTCATGCGTTGTCTCCGTAATTTTGGCGCACCCTGTAGATAATGTATAAATGGTTCTTCTATGTGTAACTTCACAACAAACCATCTTGACGTGAAGCCGCTTTTTCAAATGAACTTCAAGGATTATTGACAGACGCTTTACAGATAAACACAAAAGCAGACATACAGATATCAGATTGAATATAAAGTAGAATTCAAGCTGTTTTTAATTCACACCCTGTATTTTCTTCATGTCAGCGAGTGCACATGTGTTTAGGCGATTCACCTACGCGGGGAATTCTGAAGAATGGAAAAGTGCACCAAAAGAAAGAAGAAACATCTGGAGGGCGAGATTATGAATGGAGAACGGGTACCCGATATGCAATTAGGAAGTGAGTTTTTCAATACGGCTTTGATGCTACCGTATCGGAATTGATTCAACAGTACTTCTAGAGTGCCGATATGTTCGATTACATGACAATGTAAATTACGTCGCTGCGGGTATCATTCTCCGAGGAGAAGGGCCCGAGACAGGAGGGTGCTTCTTGATCAGGAGTTGCCAAAAAAGACTGCTACGGAAATGGATTATGCCGGCAGACGTGTTCGAAGAGGCGAAAATGAGCTCGTGAGTGGAAGATGAATCACACGGCTTAAGGGGAAGGGGTTTGTGGGGACATTCAAAATGGGCATTGTTTAAAAAATTCTGGTATTACGGGCCATGGGCATAACCCATTTTATCCGTGACATTTAGAACTTCATTCATATGGTTGACATTTAAGACTAAGCCCAGGAGGGGCATTCTTAGGGGGGATGACGGGGAAAGGCTGCTCACGTCATCTTCAAAATCCTTCCTCTCCGGACAGACTCAGTGCCAAGGTCTGTAGGCTGGACTCACCTCAAATGTTTCACGGCCCCTTCCCCTTATGCCGACGACATGTTGAAACAGCCTAATGACGCTTTAAAAAACACATAAGTTTTCTTGTGAAAAAGACAGACTTGAGAGTGGAGGGGGAGAGAAAGAATTCAGGAATGTGATCGATTTTTTATCTTCCCCGAACATCCTGCCCCTCGTAGCCTCAGTCCTAAAGGATGGCCCTGTCCCGGGGCACTTGAAAAGCGCGTACTAGGCCTGAGCCTAGAAGGAGAAACGCTAGGGAAAAAAGAAAATGCTCACATTCTTCTAGAATCCCTCCTCTTCTTAATGCTTAGTCACTAGTATTATAATAATAAGGCTACTTCACATGAATGCTCTACCCCCCCCCCCCAAAGTGCATGAGCGCCAACGTTTACCGTTGGCATCACAACCGCGACCCCAAACAATTTCCAGTCCTTTTCAGAACGCTGTTAAACGAGAGGTACGAGAGGAGTCCGGTTATGAATGTGATGTAATCGAATTGTTATCGCTAGAGGTAAGCACTTTCTTATTCCATTTACCAACGATAGTCTCTTACTATTGAGTTTCAGGTTCAAGGCAGTGGTTGGTATCGATTCTCATTCTTTTGTGAAATAGCAAGTGAGTTATTATTCAAAACGGTGATTATATACACGAGTAACATACTGGGTTGACATTACACTCCAAAACTACTACTAGATAGGCATTGTGAGCTCCCACTGTACTGTTCTAATGGATCGCTGACTCTTTCTTGATCATATCATAAGCGGCGACGGTAGTGTGAAGAATTCAAAGGGAGCGATTACGGTAGTTTATGGAGGGTTTTAGAGGGGGGAGGGCGGGATGGGCGATCAGTGGTACGCCAATAGCAAAAAAAGCAGAGAAATTCGTCAAGAAAACGCAAAACGGGACCCCTTTTGGCCGTTGGTTTTCGCTCATGACAGGCAGCGGCTAAGACGCGGACGTATGGACGAGTTTACCGCAACGCGTTTGGTGGCACCATGCCAATCCATGCTCCAGTCGAGTTGCTCCAGTTGTGCCGCTGCTGGCAACAGCTCGAATCACCAACTACTAGTGGGTGGAACGCTTAAGGGGCGGGCGCTTTCAAGTACTGCTCAGCAACCAGCGCACCTTTGTCGTGGAAGCGCTACATCCCGCTCCCATAGCAGCCAAGCTACTGCTTCGTGTGGCACATATACTTCCCCGAAGCACTCCGTCTTTATCGCAATCGGTGCCTCTATTAACATCGGCCACAAGGCTCCCAAGAGAATGCTAGGTTGCTACCCATCAAAAATATTAGCGGTCCTCTTAAAGGGCTCAAGTCTACATGTAGCAAGTGCTTCACTCGAGAAACCAGTGGTTTTTTGAATGCACACCCCATGATGAGTCTAGATGTGTGTGGATGTGTCCTTAGGTCCTCTCCTAGTCGACCTCACGAGAATGCTTTTTTCAATGGTTTGCTTTTCTTTTTCTTTACTGTTTGTTCGTCTTGAGTCCATTCTTCCATAAGTGGCCCTCCATTTTCCAACTACTTTCAAGCCCGAACAAACTTCTGCGCACTGAAATCTTTCTCCGAGCTTTCAGGTGGCGAATTGAAAACCAAGCCGAATCAAGAATCTCTTGGTGCTCAATGGTGGCCTGTCGACGAAGT